TCTTCGAACTTCACCTGCGCACTTTGGGTTCGGGACTTGCGGATATGCATGTTCTTGCCGCCGTTTCTTCCCGGCGTCGCCCCCGTCATCCTCCGGCTCGACCTCCTCAACGCTCCTACGCTCTCCGACACCTCACCGCTCCCTCCTGACCCCACCGCCACCGACGACGGCGGGGACTTGAACGCTGCCGCTAGTGTCTCCACCAGTTGGTCCGATTTCGGCCTCCATGAAAAGAAGTAAAGGACGCCTTGGCCACCGCAGTCGATTTCGAATCTACCGGATTCATCTCGGGCCAATCTCCCCGCTGCCGGGAAGAAGGCGACGAGGGCCTGGCTCAGGGACTCCTTCATCGCCCCAGCGCCTGTGGCTCTCCAACTTGGACCAGTTGTTCGTCCAAAATAATGCTGAGCGGCGGAAGTTGAATGATTTGAGAGGAGGAGGGAGTCGACTTAGGGTTAGGAAGGAGGAGGATTGAAGCGGGGTCGTTTTGGGGAAAGGGAAGGGGTCGGTTAGCCGGTTAACCGCCGGTTTCTGACCCCGGTTAGTCGGCTAGCCGAACCTCTTCCCATCTCTACCGCCAACCGACCGATGCATGCAGAAACGGTTTTTCGGTTAGCCGAAAACCGGTCGGTTTGGTTGAAACCGTCCGGTTAACTGCTAACCGGAAACCGTTCTGCCACCCCTAAATACAGGCATTGAACCTTGTTACTGTCAAGGATCGGTTTCCCATCCCAACAGTCGACGATATGTTAGACAAACTCCGCGGCACAGCGTACTTCACCAGGCTCGACGTGCATGCTATCACCAAGTTCGTATGCATCCCGCCGACGTGGCCAAAACAGCAATCAGGACTCATAACGGCCATTACGAGTACCTCGTAATTCCCTTCGCCTATGTAATGCACCTTCCACTTTACAGGCCATCATGAATGAAATGTTTCGGCCATTGCTTCGCAAGTTCGTGTTGGTATTCTTCGACGACATATTAATTTAAAGTCCGGACAAGGAGCTACATCTCAAACACGTGCGGCAGGTTTTCCAAACCTTGCGCCATCATCAATTTTTTGTTACGTTCAGCAAATGTGTTTTTTTCCATGAAGGAGATAGAGTATTTGGGTCACTTCATTTCATCTGTCGGCGTTCACGTAGATCCTCGCAAGATCGTCGCTATGATCGATTGGCCAACCCCAACATCCATCACCGAACTACGTGGGTTCTTAGGACTCACGGGGTACTACCGCTGAGCTTCCTTACGGTACCGCTTTTTTTTTCGCGGTATCGTTTTAACTCTCTGCGATGCCGCTCGACTACAAACGACACCGTTTTTTACCCGCGGTATCGAATTAAATGCCGAGACTAATTAATGCGGCATTTAATGTACCCAAAATAATTTTAGGTGTCAACACACCCCTATGTAAAATTACTCGGTCCGCCATTGAAACCATGTACAACTAGGAAAGAAATACTTGTAATACAAGAAAACTATAACTACAAATCAACTCTATTACAAACTTACAAACCATGTACAACTAGAAAAGAGATACTTGTAATACAAGGAAACTATAACTACAAATCAACTCTATTAGTGGCAACCGTTCACAAAGTTCCCAAAATCAAACTTCTAACTCCAAAAAATACCAAATAAACCCAAATCTAAGTCTCCACCACAAAATAAACAATGGCCGTTTCCAACCCAAAATTCAATAAAAGCTTCAGCTGCTTGCTTCCTGGCGAGTGCGCCAGAATTGTGATGATTATCACAATAAATCCACCATCACTCGAATCGCCACAATTAACCAAACTGAGGAAATTAATTGTGCAACTAGACAAAATTAATTGTGCCACGAACCTCCGCAAACCACAGAAGCATTCTTCAAATCCCACAGAAGCCGGCTAATCACAACTCATAAGTTTGCGATTAGACCACGAACCTCCGCAAACCAAATTTAGAGAAACACCTGAAGGGGTTTAGATAGCGTCACAACCCCTATAGGGGTTGTGATTTTCGCTTCCCCATTTACAGCCATAGATCCCCCGTTCTCTTGATCTGGCGGCTGATATAAATCAGGGGTAAAAATGGGATGAGCCGCACTGGATCCGCTCCCTCCCCACTCCACGTGTGATGACACGCGATCGTCGGCTTTGAAGAGGATGGTTTTCCGGAGGCAAATTAGCCACTTTCCCCGGTAAAAACCGTTCGCCTACCATCATCCCTCATCCCTTTACTCCATCTGCTACCAAAACCCCTAAGAAGAAGAAGAAAAAACCCTCACCTCCGCCGCAGATAACGTTGTCGGCGGTTTCCTTTTCCGCCGCCAAAAACAGTTCGCCAACCATAATCCCTCTTCCCTTTCCTCCGGCTGCTACCAAAACCCCTAAGAAGAAGAAGGGAAAGCCCCTTGCCTCCGCTGCAGATACCGTTTTCCTACCTACATCCATCTCGCTCTCTGTCTCCGGTGATTTCAAAGGGTGGTTCGTCGAGAGTGTAGGTAAGTCAGCTCAGCTCTATTTCCTACACTCCTTTATTTCGAATTCTCGTCGTTTGAAAATTATGCTCGGTTGATTTTCCATTGACTGGGTTCAACTGGTCGTCATGCACGTTGGAATCGAAGATGTAGACCTTCGTTTCTTGTGTATCCTGTTTGTTTGTGTATAGTTAGTGGTACTTGGAATTGGTATCGATGTGCTAGTGGTAGTTAGAATTGATTGTTTTATTGCCAGTGGTAGTAGTATCAATACCAAAACTGGTTCTTGTACCAGTACACCAACTGATTTGTGTACCGGTACCAATAGTTGTATATGAACAAGTATCACTAGTGATCGTTGTACCACTACCACTAGCGAAGGAGGTACCAGTACCACTAGTGATACTGGTTCATCTTGAAGAGAGATACAAGTACCACTAGTAATATTGGTATATCTTGGAGGGATACCGGTACCACTACCACCGTTACTGTATCACAGGCTTTATATGGAGTTGGAATTGTGAGTTTTAATCAACATGTCTGACTAATGTATTTGTATTATTTTGCTACCAGGAATGGCGAGAACAAAGGTTCCATACTATAATTGATGACCCAAGTAATATGATGGTGGAGGAGGTGATGGGTAGAGCTTTGCGGATGAAGGAGGGTTTACTCCATGGATATACCCAGCAAACCCAGCAGTAGTTTGTTTCCACAGTCTGAGTAGTATGCGTTTAGTTCATGTTCATTATGGAGTAAGAACAAAGTTTTAGACGTTGTGAAACTAGTAGTGGTATGCCTTTTAGTTCCATTTTCATTCCAAATTTGAAGTTGAACCAGATGTGTTGTTGAAAAATAGGATTGTTGTTGAATCAGCTAATATGGTGTTGTGTTACAAGAGTAGTTAACTTGTTTTTCCAATCACAAAGTGACCAGTAGTGGTACAAGTACTAATAGTGGTACAAGTAATAGTTGTATGGTGTTGGTATCAAAAGCCTCTACTGGTTCTTAGTACCAGTACGACTAATGATTATTGTATCTGTACAGGTAATTAGTAAAGGTAGGGATCAGAGACCACAAGTTGGGGATCGGAAACCACTCTTGGCAAATTTCCCCAATAGTTATATATGTGCCAGTAACTATTACTAGTAGGGATCAGAGACCAGAAGTCGTACCACTACTGGATATTATTACTAGTAGGAATCAATAATAGTGGTACAAGTAGCACTAGTTCACTACAAAACTCTACGGGTAAGAAAATCTCATCAGAATAATGAAACATCTGTCACAATTGACAATTTAAACTGTATCCTGTCCCAAATACCACTACAAGTCTACCAGTACAAAACTATCACTACACTTGTAGTGGTACAAAACTACTACTACATGCGTACCTATACAATCGTACCAGTACAAAACAACAACTACAAGTGTACCAGTACAAAGCTACCACTACCAATACTAACATAATAGCACAAGCATACTACTGGTACCGTTCTCTCTTTCCATCAGTCGTAACATTAAAAAACCCAATACCAGTACAACGAAATCACACTAGTTAACCCTACCGAGATTATTGCCTCCGGCGACATTCCTCATGTCGTGTTGTCGTCGTCGCGATGAAGCCAAATAAACCAGTCCCGTCAAATCCCCTCAAATCTTTGTCGCCGTTCATTATGCCGGCGTCAACGAGAAGTTGCTCCAACGTTGCTTCCAGTCTGTTAGGCTACCTACATTGCCTCTGCTGAAAGATGAAGAATCTGAAAATGGTAGGGGAACCATCATGGGCGGTTATGGTTAGTGCTAAACCAATCCCACAAATCACGCATACCAATATTCCCCATGCATTTACTATATTTTCTTAATTCCGTCAATTCAGCATTGAAATTATATTTATTATTACTTTTTCTTTCCTTTTTATTTTAAAGGTTACTCAAGACTACCCAAAACACCCTTTTTGTGTTGATAACCGTCGGATTTGGAAGGGAGATGGACGACTCTAATGTGGGAAGTGAAACTCACAACCCCTAAAGGGGTTTTGACCGGATCCTGCCCCCACCTGAAGGGATTCCTCCACCAACCCAAATTGAAAGCAGTAGCAGTCACCTCGATCTCAGCCAATTATTTCGACTCAAACCATAGATCAACGAGAGATTCTGATACCACTTGTCAAAACAAAAGCGTGTAATCGATAATTCAAATCAATACAAACGAACATAAATTTAACGTGGTTCACTAACAAAATGTGTGCTACCTAATTCACGGGTAGGGAAGAACAAATTTCACTAATTTGAGTAGAGTACAGGTTACAAAGGAATTTTGGAACCGGAAAACCAAACAAACTAACATGATTGACCTAACAACAGATTTGGGTGATTAAGAGTATTTATAAAACTCTTCTTCAAATCCCATACAGAAAACCAAACACATTTTCCAAACATACAAGAAAAGAAGCCAAAACAAAACCCAAACCCAAACATAATAGGCCAAAATCTCAAAACAAACCCAAATCAAATTCAAGTCATATACTAACAACATCTTCTTCAAAAAAATCTCTCTTGTAACCAAATTCCTAATCCACAGGACCAGGAATGAAATACCCCTATTCTCCCATTCCCCCTCCCACTAGAGGTCTACCATCTTTGATATGTTATTTTGATTTATCTTGCTACAACAGTGTCCGACCTCCCTCCGGTGGCCGTATCAGATCTTGGGCCGAAACAAACAAACCGTCACCCAATTTCAGTCATGATCCGTACAACAGTCGCCCCGGCCGATGGTGACTATGCAGCAGCACAGCCGGCACCAGTATTCCTCTGATATCACCAAAATTATATATTGATACGAATTAATAATTAAGCACATAAGAAATCCTGATAACAATTATTCAAAATTAGTAATAAGGAAGCTGAAACCTCGGATAATCATAGTAATTTAAAAGGAGAAGGAATTTTAATTAGAACGAACTAGTTGGGTGATCGACAGCGCCTGACGACGAAGCGTTAAAAGTGGTTGCTGTGGTCGACGGCGGAGCAATCTGCGAATCAGAAGGACCAGCGTGAGGTTCTCTGCCGTCGACCGCAGTGGAATGAGAAACTATGATCAATAGCCCCCACAACCACATGACCGTCATTATTAAGTTCATGCCCATCTTCTGCTTCCTGCCCTCCGCCATTAATTGTAAGCGAAAATATATATACTACTTGGTTGCATATTGCTTCATTTACTGGCCGGTGAAGATGTATTTATAAAAGCCTATGTCTCACTATTTTGATTACCACTAACCAAATTCAACGTATTTGACGAGAAAGGAAAGCCGAATCGGTACGTTAGAGCTTGCCGCAGCGGCTAATTGAGGAATCTCAGACTCAGCTCTTTCGACCGGCTTCAACATCGCTACTACGTATCTATCTTAAATGAGTCAGGTCAAGTTGTCTCCTCCCTCTATAGCCCATATAATATCTAGATGAATTTTACAATGCTATATAGTATTGGTGCTATAGGATTTTACTTTTATGTACAACTTGAAATTGTACCTTTAATGTTATGGTACAACTTCAGATTGTACCTATATTTGTTATACAAATTCTTTTATGGTACAACTTAAATTTGTACCTTATGCGATGGTACAACTTTAAGTTGTAAAGTTGTACCATAACATAATGATACAAATTCCTTTATAGTACAACCTAAACTTATACATTTAATGTTATGGTACAACTTCAAGTTGTACATTAAGTGAACGGCTATTTGCCGCCAACCAAAAAAAAAAAAAAAAAATTGAATTCAAATTTTGAATTCAAAATTTGAATTCTCCCTTCCTATAAATTCGAATACCATAACATTTGACTCATTCCAACAAAAACACTTTTGTCGACGAGCCCAGTGCCTCCGTCGCCGGCACCGTTCCTCCGTCGTCGGAAAACAAGTAAGTTTACTTTTTCCGGCAAGTTTTTCAGTTTTCCGGCAATTTTTCCAGTTTTCCGGCGAAAAACACGGTGGGCCGAAAAAAAATTGCGGCCGGAACGTGGCCGGGCCGAAAAAAATTTCAGGCCGGCGCGAGGCCCAGCCGAAAAATTCTTTCGGCCCGGCGACGTTCCGGCCGCAAATTTTTTTCGGCCGGTAGCCGAACGCGCCGCTGGAAAAATTTTCGGCGGCGCGTTCGGCGATCGGCCGAAAAAAATTTGCGGCCGGAACGTCGCCGGGCCGAAAGAATTTTTCGGGTGGGCCTCGCGCCGGCCGAAAAATTATTTCGGCCCGGCGCCGCTCTGGCCGCAATTTTTTTTCGGCCCGGCGAGTTTTTTTATTTAATTTAAATTAATATGTTAATTAATTAGAAATTATTCTTAATATTTTTTTAAGTTGGTGTATAAATGTTTTTTTTAATAGGCGTATGAATCTTTATAATTACTTAGATTAGTTAATAGAAAATTAAGTAATTAAGAATTGATTTAACAATTAATGTTAATAGTACATTAGTTAATAGTAAATTAATTAATTAGTGATTAATTAACAATTAATGTTAATAGTACATTAGTTAATAGAAATTTAATTAATTAGTGCGCATCTAAGTATGATAGTGATTAATTAGTGATTAATTAACAATTAATGTTAATAGTATATTAGTTAATAGAAATTTAATTAATTAGTGCGCATCTAAGTATGATATTAATTAATTTGTGATTAATTAACAATTAATGTTAATAGTACATTAGTTAATAGAAATTTAATTAATTAGTGCGCATCTAAGTATGATATTGTGTAAATTTGTAGATAAGATATGGATGATGCGGGTGGGAGTGAGTTGCATAGATTCGATGGTAGGGTTGTTGATGCATCAACACGAAGGAAGAGATCACTTAGGGTTGTAAATCAGTCACAGGCTCCTACTGTAGTTGCTCGTTCGTCATTAGGGGCGTCTGGCTCCCATGGGTGCTGCATCGAGAGTGGTCTCGGCTGAGTTTGATGAGGACGATAATGATGAGGATATCGAGGTCCCTCCACCTACGCGTGGACATGGACGAGTGCAGGATCGTACGGCAACATCACGTCCTGCTATGTATAGGGACCGAGCTGGGCGATTCGTACCACCTGCTCGTGAGGAGACAGAGAGCTCGGGGACTGGACGGAGTAGGGGAGGACGTTCGAGTGGTCCTCCACCGTGGGAGCTTGTTGGTGAGTGTCCTGGTGGACCTACGGATCCTAGCCTCATTAGGAGCTTCCGTGGCCACGCTTCCTACGCACTTTGGACGGAGCTTGGAGATCGAGGGGTCATCAGTTGCTACACCCGTACAGGGGCGGTTGATTATCTTGGGAGCTACGTGTTTACTCATGTTGAGGCGGAGGATCTGGTTCAGCAGTCAGGTCTCCAGCACCTGATCTACTCTATGTTCCGCAGGATAGCGATTGACGAGGCTTTGATCTCAGCTTTTGTGGAGAGGTGGCAGCCAGACATGAACACCTTCCACTTGCCTTTTGGAGAGATGACGATCCTCCTCCACGATGTTCAGTACTTACTGCAGATTCCTGTTGAGGGACGACTGATGAGTAGGACTTCTGTGCAGCTTGACCATCCGGAGGTGGGTTTGTGTGCGCTTCTTGGGATGAGCTCGGAGCAGTTGAGTGGTCGTTCGGAGGCCCCCTGGATTTGGTAGTAAGGGTAAGTGGTACGAGAAGGGTGGTTTTCTTGCGGAGGTGGCGTCTAGATACTTGCAGGTGAACGGGACACATGTGACAGAGGCGCAGTCGTACTTGTTGTTGATGTTGGGGTCCACTTTGTTTGTGGACAAGAGTAGAGACAGGGTTCGGCCGGTGGTGAACCTATTTTTGGACGAGTTGGAGGAGATAGATCAGTACAGTTGGGCGTCCGGTACACTTGCCTAGTTGTACAGATGCCTTGGTCAGGCGTCTCGTGCTAGTGCCAGGGGGGTGGCTGGTTGTCTCACACTTCTGCAGTGTTGGATCTACGAGTACTTTCCGGGTTTCAGGCCATCTCACTTTGAGCCACCTGTCGTTGGACCTGATGAGGCTTGGGCTTCACGATGGATTGGGCAGCCGGCGACTGGTTCTGTGGCTGATCCCAGTGTGAGGTTGGCGTTCTACCGTCGAGCTCTTGACAGCTTGACCCCTTCTGATGTGTGTTGGACACCTTTCCATCAGAGGCCTCATCAGGCAGTGCGTCGCTCTTTGTACACTGGAGTGATTCGGTTCGCTGATATAGGCGAGTTCTATGATCCAGCCCGTTGCCTCCGACAGTTTGGATACCGACAGATGGTACCGCCTCCCCCTTCGCGTCCTTAGTGAGCAGACCGACCAGAGGCACCTGGTGGATATGTCATTCGGATTCCTGAGAGTTTTGATGCTGCATGGGATGCTCTGCTATCCCACATGGTTCATATAGACATGTACTCTCAGCCCTGGAGGAGGTATCCATATGAGACTACGGTCGACTATCTTGACTGGTTCGTGGCGCACTCTCATTGTAGAGTCCTACAGGATGATGGAGATGCAGATCGACTAGTTGACTCCGCAGCGGTAAGATTTGACCACTAGACCGTTACTCTATTATAAATATACTTAGCGTGAAACTAACAATTGTTATTGTTTTTTTTTTGTTTGTGCAGCGTGGTCGAAACCTTTTGTACACGTTTGCACCTGCAGTTCGAGCAGCAGCAGGGACCGAGGAGGAGTTTCTTGAGCATTCTCGACGAGCCTACAGGGCACTGCACGGAGTGCAGGATGTGTGGACTGAGTACTGGGCCTCCCAGGGACTCCCCCCTCCCTGATTTTTAGTTGTTTTGATGTTTAGATCGGATGTTTATGTTTAGACTGCATGTTTGCATATTTATGTTTAGATCGGATGTTTGACTACTTATGTATGTTTGGATCAGATGTTTATGTTTAGACTGCATGTTTCCATGTTTATGTTTAGATCGGATGTTTGACTACTTATGTATGTTTGGATCAGATGTTTATGTTTAGACTGCATGTTTCCATGTTTATGTTTAGATCGGATGTTTGACTACTTATGTTTGGATCGGATGTTTGCACACTCATGATTAAAACATCGAGGGTAGATAATGAAATCCATAATGAAATCCATAAGTTCATAATGACACTAGAGCCATTTAAAATACAACTAGAAAAACAACAACATATAAATAGAGCATCGCAACACTATGCATTGCTCCTACCCCTACCCCTTCCCCTTGCTCTTCGGGGGTCTCTCTGCCTGGCTCACTGCCGACCACCAAGACTCGCAAACAAATTTTGTCCAACCTCGAGAATAGCTTCCCATCCCGCCACATTAGGACTTGCTAGCCCATGCCAAAGTGGATGCAAATGGGGTATGGGAAACTGATCCTGGTTGAAGTACAATCGAATGTAGTGGTTGTTCACATAGTGCAGTGATAAGAACATGGTTGGTGGCAAAGTACCTGGGTCCGCATCAATAGGCAATACAGTATAGGCATCATCGTAGCGGTTGGGTAGTGGACGGTTTGCATTATTGACATCAAACACCTGGTATGTGAAGACCATGACTGCGATGTTGTAGATGGTGGCAAACACGAACAAGTCCTCAGAATCCATCCATCGCCCCATTGGTGCGGAACCCGCCTCGAGCCAATTGATGCGGTCAATGTGAGCTAGTGGACCACCATTATACAAGTTCTCGTACTTCCAGAAATGTTGTTGGATTTCTTGGACAATCGTCGATCTCATGAGCAGATAGTGACTATCATCCCCATAAATACAATGAGAAAGTGCCCTAAAACCACAATGGCCGTCTGGACTAGGGTTGAAATCGCCTACCAACAAAGGTCGAACAAACTCTGGAAAAAGCTCATCGATGTAAGGGTAAGAATATTGCCCTGGGGGGCTCTGGGATGAGTAATCTACAAAAATATACCAAACAGTCAAAATTACTTGGACAATATTTACAAACATAAACCAATTACTACTAGATGGACTACAATATTTAACCAATTACTCACCTGTATCATGCTCGTCGGATTCACCTCCACTCGATCGGGATCTGCCTCCACTCGATCGGGATCTGCCTCCACTCGATCGCCCCCTGCCTCCACTCGAACCACGCCCAGTACTCCTCGAACGAGACCGCGCATAATATGAACGAATGCGACTGGTGCTTGTTCGAGGCCGTCCTCTCGGATTCTCATTCACTTCCGGTTCCCTCACATTGTCCTCTGCTGGGTGAAGCCCATAGAATAGGGCATCTCTTGCTTGTCTCACTGCTTCAGGACCTCTTTCTTCCACCTCAACAGTAAGACGCCTAAAGTGTTCTCGTTGAAGCTCAATTTCATCATTGACTTGTTGTTGACGTGGGGGGGTTTTTATAATCCAAAGTCCGCCAAAATGCATGCAACTCTTGAGCATAGAATTGACGTCCTTCTTCCTTAGCTTGAACAACCTGGCAAGCACACTTGAGCCCATGTGTCATCTGAAAATGACACGCACAACGGTCCTTCAACTCCGCCGCCCCATCTAACATCAGTTTGATTGCCTCACAACTAACGACCCTCCTCAAAAACGTGCACGGAGGCTCAATTGCCCTACTCAGATTGCGGTTAAGTGACTTGTGCAGCTCATTCACCACTTCTAGAAACTGATGTTCCATGTAGTTGTGGTTCTTCGCAAAACAAGTGTCAATCGCTCCTCTACCAGACACAAGGAAACTCTTGAATGAAGAGTGAGATGACTCAACTCTATTCGAGCTCGTGTTACCAAGATGAAACACATGGTTCGTGTAGCACTTTGCCCACATTGTCTGACAAGGCAACCACTCACCTCGCACGTAGTCAACCATTTTTATGTTCTTCTGTGTCCAGACCCTCTCAAACTGATTAATCTTCTGAAGAAAACCCTCCTGAGTCCAACTCCATGCAGCTTTGTTGAAATATTTCTTCCATACCGCTTCTGCTACCTCTCTTTTTGAAATTCCACCCAGTAATTGCTCAAACTTTTGCTTCACACAGTTGTTGACGTGCCATAAACATAGTAGGTGGACAGTATGTGGGAGAGGGAAGACCAGGGGCATAGAAGCAAGCAGACCACCTTCTTTGTCTGTCACAATGACATTCGGAACCGTATCACCGAGCAACCCTTTAATACATCGCAGCACCCACTCATATGTTTCCTTTGTTTCCTGCTTAATAATTGCACATGCAATGTTGAAATTCTTCTTGACTGGAGTAACCCCAATAATCTCAACCCATGGCCAGCCATACCTATTCGTCTTGTAGGTCGAGTCAATGATGATGACGTACGGCCATGCATGCAACATCTGAATGGACGTCGGGTGCGCAAAAAACATATTAGTGAGCACATTATTAGAGTCCTTTTGCAAACAGATATGGTACCCACGTTGTTCAGCTCCATGAAGCGCAAACTGTATCGCATCCATTTCACCCATCTCATCCAATCTGTTCTTGTAATTTATGTTGTACATCTGTTTGATATCATGACTCACACCCCCTTCAGTATTGAGTGTCGTCTTCTGCTGATTTGGTCTCACCCCCGCCTTCCTCATTAATCTTAACCTCTCTTTTTCAGCCTCACTAAACTGTTTGTTGTGTCGGTGATGTTCTGGATACAACACCTTTTCATGGTTGTGAAACCCTCTATTAGCTCCGGTTTCACGACTTGTCACTCCCACTAGGACCCATGTGTTTGGACCATCCTTTTGCCATACTTCCTTAATACATATCTGAAACTGGCAACCAGTACCCTTCGAACTAATATTCCCACGCGTCTCCTTCGTAGGGTCTGGTTTATAAGACTTAACGATCCTACTGCTTCTGTCGCAATACATACAGAGGGCAGTAACAGGATGTAGTCCAGCAGTATTCGGTTTCCATGCTCCTCTAACAATAAAGAACTCACACTCTTGAGCGATTGCTTTTGCAGCTAACTCAGCTAACTCCACACTTGCATAATGGATCCCATTCTCAAATTCTGCTGTGTAATCATGATCGGCCGGGAACCACTTTGACATTTTTCCTACAATTACAATATAACACATCAATATTCTTGTGAACCTAAACGCTAATTTCAACTCTTAACCGCTAAATTCAACTCCTAAACGCTAAATTCAACTCTTAAAATCAAATTTTTCCGACGATTTGCAACGAACAGGGTGGGCCGAAAATTTCCGGCGGCCGGAACCTGGCCGGGCCGAAAATTTTCGGTGGCCGGAACCTGGCCGGGCCGAAAGAAAACGGTGGCCGGAGCCTGGCCGGGCCGAAAATATTTTTCGGCTCGGCCAGGCTCCGGCCACCGTTTTCCGACAGCCCGGCCAGGTTCCGGCCACCGAAAATTTTCGGCCCGGCCAGGTTTCGGCCGCCGGAAAATTTCGGCCCACCCTCTGTTCGTTGCAAATCGTCGGAAAAATTGTTCGAAACTAAAAAAAATTGACGCACCTGCTTAGTGATGATTCATGGATGCGTGTCCGCAGTTTACGTCGAGGATGGGCTTTCCCGATGGTTTTCCGGCGACTTTTCCGGCGAGCGTCGATTTTTTCTGATTCAATACGTTTTCTGAAACTTGAAAATGTTGTAGATTGTGAAATTTCTCAACCAAAGATGTACATATATACTTTTTTTTTTTTTTTAGTTGGCGGCAAATAGCAATTTGTTTGGCGGCAAATAGCAAGCCCCTACATTAAAGCACCAATACTATATAGCATAGTAGAAGTGCTCATAATATCTAACGTATATACCTTTTCAAAACGAATAAGAAATGAGGGGTAAAAATTGTACATTTGGGCCCGAATCACAAAAATTCACTTTGAGATTAGAGCATGGAAGTAAAGAATGTTATATGGATCATCGTCGTTATCTGCCTTTAAACCATAAATGGCGGGAGCTGAAGAGAGATTTTAATGGAAGAGGGAAAAAAGGATTGCACCAAAGCGCCCATTAGGTTAAGAAGTGGCGAATGAAATCTTGTCTCTTGAAACAGTGTCGTTTGGTAAGAAGGGAAAGAAGCGAAAAATTGATTGGTTTAGCAAAACTCATAATTAGAGAAAACAATCAATCTTCTTTGAATTGCCATACTGGGGAAAATTCTTGTTACGACACAATTTGGATGCCATGCACATTGAAAAGAATGTGTGTGATAGTATTCTGGGTACAATAATAAATCTACCAGGCAAAACAAAGGATGGTTTGAATGCTCGTCTTGATTTGAAGGATATGAATATAAGGCATGAACTCCACCCTGTTGAAGAAAATGGCAAAACCAAGCTCCCTCGAGCTTTCTACAGTATGACAGTTGACGAGAAAAAAGCTCTTTGTCAATGACTTTCAAATTTAAAAGTACTAGATGGTTATTCTGCCAACATATCTAGATGTGTTAACCTTGAGGAGCGCAAAGTTTCAGGCATGAAAACTCATGATTGTCATATCTTTTTGGAAAGATTACTACCACTTGTAGTTTGTGAGCTATTACCAAAAGATATTTCTGACGCACTAATTGAGTTAAGTAGTTTCTTTACGGAAATATGTTCAAAGGAGTTGAAGGTTGAGGATCTACATATTCCCGAGGAACAAACAGTCGTGACACTGTGTAAGTTGGAGAGAATTTTCCCACCGGCCTTCTTTGATGTTATGATTCACTTGTCAATCCATTTTTCGTGGGAAGCTAGAGTTGATGGTCCAGTGCAATATCGTTGGATGTATCCAATCGAAAGGTATGAATCTTCTTCCATTGGCTTCTGTTATATCTTCAAGTTAATTTAGCTTGAAGTTCGACGGTATGTTTTACAGACAAAAGAAAAGTTTGGTGGCTACTGTTCAAGAATGTAGCCATAGAAGTTTTATTATACTGACTGGTCACATAAATGAATACAATTTATTTGTTTGCTTATGTCCAAAAACGTATTTAATAATGTTGTCCATAAAAATTTTGGATGCACTAATTGGTTGGTTTTAATCAACTTCTCCTCTGCCTTGTCTATCATATTCAGATCAGTTATAGCCAAAACTTGATCGTTGAATGAGTAAAAAGTTGGATTGGCCTTCTAAGGTTTAGAATTGCTTTTTCTTTGAAAATTGGTTGAGCTTGGTGTCCATCACGTGACCCAAATAAGCAAGTGTATGTTTATTGTAATTCCTTTACGTTGCCAGATTAGCAGGTATATTGTGGGCCAAGTTCATTCGGCCAGAACAAATCTCTCTAATGCCCAAAATCTAGTCCCTGAGTACCATGTTTATTGTGATTCGTTTCCATGTTTTTTTCACTTTTCACGCACTGCTTTCCTTTCCTTTTGTTAGTCTGTTATGTTGACGCGATTATTATTGTCCGCTTATTACAGGTTTTTGAAGAAGTTAAATGGCTATGTTGGCAATAAGGCACGTCCAGAAGGTTCTATTGCTAAGACTTATTTGATCGATGAATGCCTCACATTTTACTCACGTTATTTGACTGGAGTGGATATTGTATTTAATCAGCCAGAGAGGAATGATGATCATGTCAATCCTTCTTCCAAGTCTCACCAACTATCTATTGTTTCACTTATGGGCCATCATCTAGGAGGAAATCCCAATGTGGAAGAATTAGGAGGCAACATACTCAATGCTGCTATTTTTTATGTCTTGGAAAATTTTAATGAGTTACAAGAATATTCCAGGTGATTTAGAAATCATATTTCATTATATTTTTGGAGAACACTCTTTTTCATTTCAAATTTATTATTAACTAATCATGCACATCATTTTTTTATTTATGTATAGAGAGCATAAAGACATGTAAGCTTCCCGGGGTGTTCGCTGGATTGAACAAATTCACAAACAACAATTTGCACAATGGTTTAGCAAGAAGGTAAGTGCACTTATTTATTATGGTAGAGTCAAGTCATAAGAAATACCTATTGATTTTGATCTTATTTATTATAGATCATGATGACGTATAAGGAGCATCCTAAAAGTGGAGCACTTGATTCGAGTTTCTTGGCTTCATTCAACTTCCTCGAAGCCTTCCTAAAATCTTCATGGATGACATAATCACGTTTTGCACGAACTGCGGACATTCCAGCTTCAGTATATACGTTACAAAAATAAAGTTAATAAAAACATAAAAGTGGCTCCTATGGGAATCGAATCAGCAACTCTAGCTAACAAAGACCAAAATTTTCCGCCAAACTACATACATACTAATGTGATAATATTTCGGACACCATTTAATTATAACATAAATACACTTTATACGTAATTTTCAAACTATCAACAACATTTTATTACTGACAAGATATATGCTTTGTCACAAATACATTAATTCTTGATGAAACGTTACTAACAAAAGGATTTTTTCTGTCGCAAATAAAGTTCTCACCAAATTACCTCCAATGAATGAACTTAATGACGAGAATTCAGGTTTTACTGGCGAGGAATAACCTTTATAAAAAATACAGTTTTTTGGTCTAAAAAATTACCGACGAGCATATTTTATTCATCCCAAATAACCTATGCGCCACTTTTCTCTTCAGAAAGTAGACTTAGTGACTACGATTCATATTTTTACTAATAAGATATAGACTTTGTCGCAATTCGCAAATACATAACTTTTTGACAAACAATTATCGACGGAAGTGTAAAGCTATCCCTAAAAGCCTTTTTGTGGCGAATTTGAGCCTACGTCACAAATACAATGTTTTGTGACGAACCTTTACTGACGAAAAATTATATTCATCCCAAATAACCTATGCGCCAACTTTTCCATCCGGAAAGTCGACTTAGTGACAACGATTTATTTTTACCGACAAGTTATAGAATTTATCGCAAATACTTAACTTTTTGACGAAACATTAATGACGAAAGTGTAATATCGTCCCTAAAAGCCTTTTTTGCGACGAATTTGACCTGCCATCGCTAAATTTTTGTCACTAATGACTGTCTTTTTGTAGTGTGGTTAGTCAGTTTATGTCTCATCCTCATGTTGATCACATGGTTGCAGTTCACCATATTCTTCGATATCTTCATTGAATTCGTGACGATGTCTCCTACTTCCTTCATCTGGTGGTCTACGCTTACGTGCCTTCTCTAATTGTAAATTTGATGGATGCATTGTGTTTTTCTTTGTTACGCGTTTGTATTCTAGAGCTGCAAAAAGCATGATAAAGTGTCTAAATCCTCCACCCAAGCAGAACACTAGGATATTTCAGATGTTGGCTGTGAGCTCATCATGTTACAACGCCTACTATGTAACTTTGTCATTTCCCGACCTTGGGCGAGATCTTCATGTCGACACACACAAGTGTGATCCAGATAGCAGTCAATCCTATTCTTTATATTGTACAAAAACATATTCATGTGCAAATTCATTACTTTAATGATTTGGTATGTGTCTGGGTGGTTTGTTATTGTTAAATCCCTTCGAAGGATTAGGTTGCCGATTTGATGAAAAAGTCCTTTACTACCAGTCATACTGGTAACTCTCTAGGAAATTGATACTTCGAGACCGCATCAATTTGGGGAGGCCATTAAACCATCAGTTCGGCCCATGTTTTTGTTATAACAGTTCTTGTACTTATTTGTGGTCCTTGTTACGTATAGCCCATGCAGAACTTACCCTAACCTTAGTCGTCGTCTTCTAAGGTTTTCTGTGGGTCTATATGTTCCGGTATATACTGGTGGAATAATTAAGCAATATGAACAATAGATCAAACAGGTTCCAAATTCTCCTGTGAACTTCACGGATTTCAGTTCCTCAAAAAAAATCTTAGTAAGAGAAATCTATCATAACCAAATTCCTAATCTAATCTCCGGTGGTCGTATCTGGTCTTGGGCCCAAACAAACCGTGACCCGATTCAGTCATGATCAGTCTGTCAACAGTCCCCGTGGCCGACGGTGACTATGTAGCAGCACAGCCGGCACCAGTATTCCTCTGATATTACCAAAACTATTGCCACCAATTAATAATTAAGCACATACAAAACCCTAATAATTAATCAAAAATAATAATAGTGTTGACACCTAAAATTAATTTTGGGTTGAATTAAATGCCGCATTACTGAGTAGTGGCATTTAAGTCGATGTCGCATGATAAAAAACGGTATAGACAAGCAATGTTAGGAACTTAAGTGATGAAAAAGAAACTTACTTCGTCCAATCCGACCGAGAGACAGCTTCTTTCCTCTTCTTTTCCCAGGCCTCTCCAGCTACCTTCCTATCTTCTCCCTCTCTCGCGATGAACCGAGTAGAGGGTTACGACTGAGATCGTGAACGAGGTAGAGGTGGCGACGGACAAAGGGATGTGACGTACAGGAGACTTGTCGACGGCGGCGCGGCACATCAACGACAGGAGCGACGGGAGAGGCGAACAACGGTGGTGCGATTTTGACGATGGCGAAGATGGAGACGAGAGGCGCGATGGTGAACTGTGATAGGTGATACAGAGCAAGTCGGTGGTCGAGGATCAGCGGCAGTCCGGTGATCGGCGGCGAGGATCCGACAATCCGGTGGTTGGCGGCGAGGTATTCGACACGTACAGGTCAGTATTTTTTGGTTTTTTCTTCGGTGAGTTGGCTGGAACTATCTCACGACAGTATTTGATTTCTGGGATCACGATACCAAAGCTTCATAATCCCCTTTTCTTCTTTTCACCCTCTGGGTTGCTGCTTCCCTCTCTCTTTATAGTACCCAAAATCAACTGTATCACCTAGGGGTGTTGGTTCGGGTCGGGTAACCGAACTCGAAGCCAGGGAAAACCCAACAACCCGAAACCATTACTACACAACCCGAAACCGAACCCGAAATTGCAGCTTACGGGTGTCGGGTAGCTGAACCCGAAAAAAATACTGGTGGTTTCGGTTGTTAGCTTAACCCGAATTGTAGAAGAACTTTCAGCATAAACAAAATACTGTGTCTTCGTAACCATTCTGGTCTATAGAAGATGGCTAAAATGCAATCAACTCAGACTCTACCTTCAATTAATACCAATTACAAGTAAACTGCCATATATTAATCCCGCCGATCCTCTTTAGTGCCGATTCCTTTCTTTGTTCCTCAAATTATCCTGCAGTTGCTCTGTTGCAATTTGATTGAAAGGGGACCCAAACGCCATGAACCCATCAGGCTCATCATCATTCCAATTCAACAACCAGCAAAGAACCCATCAGGCGCTAGCTACCACCTATTAACAGGGGACACAGACAGAGCAGGAAGGGGAAAGGGGAAGACGAAGGCCTTTATGGGATTCCATAGCAGAGGTCGGAGAGGGGACTACCCGACTCAGACAGAGATCATCCACTTCGCCGTTGATGGGTTTTGATGGCCGTTGTTGAGTTTCCCATGAGGCCGCTGGCTGTGAAAACGATGATGGCGGTGAGGACGATGCGGCAAGGAAGGTGACGGTGAGGGAGCTGATGGCGGCCTGAGGACCCCACGAGGTCGATGGCGGCTAGGGTAATGATGGTGGCGAGGGAGTTACACAGAGTGACTTGCCAGGTTTGAGCGTTTGCCAAAGGTAATGGCGACTTACGGCGAAAAGCTAGGAATTTCACCGAGCTCGGGATTGCAGCGTCGTCTCAGTGCTCACCAAAAATGACATTTATTTAATTCGGGTTCTCGAGCTGGTGTCGGTTTTTGTGTTTCACTGAAACCGAAAACCGTTGACAGCATATGCGGGTTGAAACCGAGAAACTGAAACCCGAAAGAACATAAATTGGTTCGGTTTTGGGTTAATCCGAAAAACCGGAACTGATCTGACACCCCTAGTATCACCTACCTCCCTTTTTAATGTCGAACTAATTGCCATCTCCCTATTCAATTCTCAGCCTTCCAGATTAACTTTCTCTCCCTTTCCAATTGATTCTTTGCTTTGCCCAGCTCACCCAAGCCCGAGGTCGATTACTTTCTCTGTTCTGCAGGGAAGAGATGAGGGATGGTGGTCATAATGGTAGGAACATATGTGGTCGGGGTGGTTTTGGTGAGCAAAAGGTGTGCTACCAGGCTAAAGATAAGTGGGTTTAAACCCCGGGGGTGATAATGGTAGGAACTAGGAACAGATGTGGTCGCGGAGGTTTTGGCAAGCAAAAGGTGGGCTACTGGGCTAAAGACAAGTGGGTTTAAACGCCTTTCCGTTTGTTTTTCCTCTGTGATAGAATGGGCTAGGATAGGGGTGGGCAATGGGAAACGGGTATTTGGGTATACCCATACCCGTCCCCTTTTTTGAGGGTTACGGGTACCCAAATACCCGTAATTTTTCTTATGGGATGGGATTTGGGATGAAGAAGTTTTATAATGGGTACCCGCGGGTTACCCGTTAATACCCATTTGGGTATTATGGGTACCCGTACTACCCGCTCATAACCCAAGCCCATGTTAACCATAATTGCAGAGGAGGCTCCTGCTAGTCTCAAGGTAGCTTGAGTTTGATCATTACTACTCTTCCACACAGAGAAAAATCAAAACTTGGAGCCTTGAACTCAGGTAGCTCTTCGGACTACTGTACCATGCATAAACATTTTATGCTCAAGGATCTCTAGATTTTGCTGTTTAGATTCTGTATGTGTAATCACATTTGGGTAGCTCTTCAAACTTTCTTATCTAATAAGATGCATATGATCTGCATGATCTCTGATGCATGAACAGCGAACTACTTTTCCATTGTCTCGCTATAGGGAATTTGCCTGTCATCCGAATCTACTTTTGTCATTCTCATCTGATTCTTAACATGGTTTGTTAGGTTGATGCTATTTGTTATCCATATCTTTTAATGTAGGTGCTTCGGTATACTGAATGGAAACGATACAACAATGTGGAATCCTGCTAACGATGTTCACCTGCCTGCTATGTTCAATGGTAACCTTCTGCTAGGTTCAATGTGCTTGTAATTCATCTTCATTTATGGGTACCCGCGGGTACCCATTATCCGTCCCGTACGGGTAATGGGTACCCGTTTCCCATATGGGTTTGGGATATGGGAAGGACTTTGACCTCCAAATGGGACTGGGTACCCGTTTAAAACGGGACGGGTATCCCGTCCCGTCCCGTTGCCCACCCCTAGGCTAGGAGGCCAGTTGTGTGACTGTAACAAACCTCCTACGTAATAGGCTGCTGGTTTTTTGTTTTTGTGTTGATTGACGGAGCTAGAGGATTCAATGTTGGTGTATAGATGTTTGGTAACTCGATAAAAACAAGAAGGTTTGACGAAAGGGCAAATTGGAACAAACCCCAATTTTCCAATCGAATAAAAACCGAGGAAATTCCATATTGGAACCTGGACGAAAATGAGTATAAACATTATGAACGCAAGAAATTGTTGTTTTGTGAACTTAACCGAACGCGAGTTTGTTAAACTTGCTCAAGGTGGATTGAATTTTGAACTACGTAAAAAATTTCAGGATAGGGAGTTTTCAGATATGTTTCAATCGATGTCCTACACTGTTAGGTATGAGTCTCTTCTCAATGAAGAAGAACATAGGAGAAGTGGCTCACGTGGACAATATCTTCCAAATTTTGAAAACTATGGTGTGAATTACGTCTGCAACGATCCTGACGATGTCGAAGTCGACTTGGCCGAAATTGTGCAAGGGAAGCAATACGTGTGTGCTTCTCTAGCCAAGGTTGATGGGGAACCACAAGCTGGAAAACTCAATCATACACCAATGCAATCTAGATAATATTCTTTTGACATTTTAAAATCATATTTGATTTTCGAATAGCTTTACAAAGTTGGTCAAATTAATTTAACTGGAGGGCATACTATCCTGCAAGACTTCGGTCCTCTGAAAATTAGAAGTATGGAAGGAGGATCATGCAACGTTGTAGGTTCAAACACAAGGGTGTTAAGTAAGGTTTGCTTGAATCTGTTGTCCAAGATTGTGAGACCATCGATGTTCGCATTAGATGGTCCACCAATGTCTGAAGTACAAGTCGATAATGAGTAATCCACCTTGAGAGAAGTTGGTGGAGGCCGAAATCACGGCCTTGCGAGAGAGGTTGGCCTGTGAATGGAGGCTTGCTTGCATGGAGCATTTGTTGATGGCCAATTGTGTTGTTGATGATGATCAACGGAGAGGGTTCAGATCACAAGATGGTGGAAGTTTGTGGGAATATGACAGGTACGAGTTAATTGTGATTTTGAATGGCTTCAAAAATTGTTTTGCATGTGATTATCATGAAATGTTTAATGAGCATGTTGCAATCATTCTGCTTAGCCAATTTATCTATGCTTATTTTAGTTTGTTGAGCAATTGAAATCCTTGAGCTACAATGGAAGCTAACGGCACTACATCAGAATCACGGCCGTTGGTAGTGAGGAAAGAAGGACCAAAACATGGTCGTTTCTTTGACTAAGCCACGTTGCAGAGTTGTCATTCTAACGACATTGTTGGGGTTATTATACCTGGCCAAAAACAATTAATAATAAATGTTGCTGGAAATTGGAATAACAATGTTGAAAAATCAAAGTTGTTGTGTAAGAAATAGTTTTGCGGTGGTGTGGGGAAACAACATTGTTGTGGGTAAAGACTAAAAAAAGGACCAATCATGGTCGTTGACTTAACTTATGTTGGTTGTTTTTTTCATCTCAACAACATTGTTTGACCACAACATAGAGAAAATGGGTTCTGATCTTGGCCGAAAAGTAATAAAATACATGAAACAAAGTTGTTAAAAAAAAATGTTGTTTGTGGACGAGCAGCTTTGCTGAGAAAAACAACGATGTTTAATTCCTTGTGGTGTTGGAGGTTTCCGCAGCATTGCGGGCAAAGAAAGAGTGCAACAGTCATGTGGTGCTTTTATTTTTTTCATCTCAACAACATTGTTTGACCACAACATAGAGAAAATGGGTTCTGATCTTGGCCGAAAATTAATAAAATACATGAAACAAAGTTGTTAAAAGAAAAATGAAGTTGTTTGTGGACGAGCAGCTTTGCTGAGAAAAACAACGATGTTTAATTTCTTGTGGTGTTGGAGTTTTCCGCAGCGTTGCGGGCAAAGAAAGAATGCAACAGTCATGTGGTGCTTGGCGGGAGCGGATAAGGTGCATAACTTTGTAGTCAATAACCTTATGTATAACCCAATTAGAATCCGCCACATCAACACCCATTCTCTCTAGGAAAATCTTTAATTTTCCCCCTGTATTTTTAAAGGACGATTTCTCACTCGTTTTAAGTCAAAATTTAATTTTTTTTGCACAGTTAGATCAGATTAATTGTGTTCTTCAAAATGATATACACTTTGATATATTTTGGAACAAAAAAATTTGAGTAAGTTATTACCCGTCTATACCATATGGTATTGACTGGTATTAAATAAGAGCATACCATATGGTATGAAATTTTTACCAGTCATACCGGGGTGGTATAGTATGGTATGGATTTGGTAACGAGATGTATGAAATTCTTTCATCTAAATTTTTTGACATCCAATAGACCATGATTAAATGGTTCCTTCTCTGCAAAAATTTCCGTAAACGACTAAAAAACGAAGGAGATACCATATGGTATGGAGTTGGTAACGAGAGATATGAGAAAAAAAATTCTCAAAAAATATTGAAAATGGATCTCATTTTGTAGAGCACAACGAACTCGTTCCATCTGTGCAAAAAAAATGAAATCCGAGTTAGAATGAAGAAGATTTGATCCGATTAAGAAAAATAGGGGAAATAAAATGTCTTTAATTTACAACCCTTAGATCTGCAGCCACTTAAAAGAAGGGTCCAGATTTGGTTACTCATAGTTATGCACTCTAGGGTTATGCATCCTATCTTGAGTTGTGCTTGGCTGCTTGATAAAAAATAAAATTAAAAGTCAACCAAAGCACAACCGTTTGGGCTAAAACAACACTGCGAGCCGACCAGATGGGAGAGCCGTTTTTCTTAGCAGAACAGGTTGCTCTGGCTGAGGCAAGATCACAAAGGCGGGAACAAGTCCGCTGAGTTTTTTTTTTTTTTTTTTTGGCGAAGCATGACTTGATTTCCTTTGCCGCAACGCTGCTTGGATCGGAGAAAGTGGCTTCGTGGGAGAAGCCACATAGGATTTTTTTTTTTTTGCCAATAGCTCACTTGCATTACCAAGAAGAAAGATAATAAGAGTTACAGAACTGACATCACCCAAGCGCGAAAATCAATCCCCGAAATACCAATAGGACACAATGACAGGGCTTTCTTAGCCACCAAATGGGCTACCCAATTGCTTTGCCTACCTATAAAATAGAATGTGAAATTAGTCATTTGCTGCCTCCAACCCCATATTTCCTGAAGAATCGCCCCACCTAAAGCATCCGTTGTGACACTGGCACGAACTTTGTCCAGCACAACCTGTGCATCCCCTTGGAATTCCACTTCTTGCAAACCATGGATGGCACACCAGTGAAAGCCTCCCTTAACGCAACAAACTCCACAAGGTAAGGATCAATCAACCCTTCATAACAGAAGCCCTGCATAAAACCACCATACCCGCTGCATCAAACACCACCATGCCCGCCGCGCTGTGAGAACCCACCTGCACAGCCCCATCAACTCGACACAGAAATTGGAAAGAACTTTGACGAGGAGTCGCACGCGTTTGCCGAGCTGGAGCGAGGGCCTTCTAGTTCGCCGCTTCCACCTCCCGCCACTCATTAACCTGAAACTGATACTGACGTAGAAGGATTGGAATCGTATATTTGATGCCGTCAAAAGTGTCCCAATTGTGAGACTTCCATATGCACCAAAGGAGGGAGACAACAGACACGAACCAATCCGGGAACCGTTCCACCCACCATCGCAAGAAAAGTGAAAAATTAATCACCAGAAGCCCTTACCGAGTCGGCATCAAACTAACAGTAACCCAAAGCTCTCGAGCCACTCGACAATGAAGGAACAAATGCTCGACGGTCTCGGACGGCTCGTAGCAAACCGGACACTCCTCAGAAATGTCACCACCCTTTACTCGTAGCGCCTCCATCGTTGGGAGGATTCGTTCATCACCTGCCAACCAAAAAACTTAAGTTTACGGATCACATATTCAGCCTTAGGGTACTCTCCACTAATGATAAAATCTAGTAATCACCTATTTGGGCGTAATTTTGGTCGAATTTTTCCGGACGACATTTTCGTATTTTTTGCACTATTTTTTCCAAACGCCATTTTCCTTAGATTTTGAAGGCTGCAGATCACGGATTTTGCCTGAGACTATTCCAACATCACAGATTTCAAGCGATTTTTTTTCGTTGAATATTTCAAGCGATTTTGGAAAAGCCACTTTCGTTGGATTTTGAAGTCTACGGATCATAGATTCGTCCTTAGCGTACTCTCCACCAATAATGAAGTCTACTACTCGCCGATTTGGAGAAATTTTTGTCGAATATTTTCGATAAAATTTTCGTAATTTTTTGTTAATTTTTTCGAAATGCCATTTTCCTTAGATTTTAAAGAATGCAGATCACGGATTCAGCCTGATGCCATTATTTAGCGATGATTAAGTCTATTTAACACCGATTTGTGCGGAATATTTTCGTGGATATTTTTGTCATATTTCAAATGGGTACCATCAAAAGCTTCGGCCATTTTTTAACAGGCCATTTTCCATGGAGTCTACTAATCGCCGATTTGGCTGAATTTTGGTCGAATCTTTCCTAAGGGCATTTTTGTAATTTTTGGCAATTTTTTTGAAATGCCATTTTCCTTAGATTTTGTAGGCTGCAGATCACGGATTCAGCCTGAGGCTATTCTTTAGCGATGATTAAGTCTAATTAACACCGATTCGAGCGGAATATTTCCATGGTCATTTAAGTCATATTCCAAAGGGGTACCATCAAAGTTTTTGGGCCATTATATAAATGCCATTTTCATTGGATTTTGAAGTCTACGGATCACAGATTCAGCCTAAGCGTACTCTCCACCAATAATGAAGTCTACTAGTTGTCGAGTTAGAAGAATTTTTGTCGAAGTTTTCCGGATGACATTCTCTTAATTTTCGGCAATTTTTTCGAAAATCCATTGTCCTTGGATTTTGAAGGATGCAGATCACGGATTCAGCCTGATATTATTCTTTAGCGATAATTAAGTCTGTTAAACAACGATTCCGGCGGAATATTTCCAATGCCATTTGTGTCAGTTTCCAAAGGTGTACCATCGCAGATTTCAGCCGATATTTTGGAAAGACCATTTTCCTTGGATTTCGAAGTCTACGGATCACAGATTTGGCCTTAGGAAACTCTCCTCCAATAAT